TTTATTTTACAGTTGGTGACAAAGTTCCAGCTGACATTCGGATAACTTCAATAAAATCTACAACTCTCAGAGTGGATCAATCAATTCTAACAGGTAGGCTGGTTGTGATGTTCCTTTCTCTTGAGGACCTTGATTGATAATTAATCTTACGGTGAAAAAGATTAAGGTGCTTTGTTGTTTGAAAGTAAATAATGCAAAAGACTCAATGTTAATATTTTGCCAAACAGGTGAAAGTATCAGTGTCATCAAACATACAGAACCCATCCCTGACCCTAAAGCTGTCAATCAAGACAAGATTAATATGCTGTTTTCGGTAAATTGTGTTTTCTATCTTTAAGTGTTGTCTTTCATGTCATTCCAGTGTGGATCACAGTTAACCTTGCTAACTTCTGTCTTTAATTGTTACTATTAGGGTACAAACATTGCTGCTGGAAAAGCTTCAGGCGTAGTCATTGGAACTGGTCTTAACACACAGATTGGTAAAAAGGCTGTTTGTTTTATGAAAAAGGTTTTGGATAATATTGTAAATAAGCACATGACCATTCTTTATTTTGTGTGATGAGTTTTTTCTCTGTCATTCCTTCAGTAACGTGATAAAAACATGGTTGGTTAATTTGCAGGTAAGATCCGAGATGAAATGGTTGATACTGACGAGGAAAGAACACCATTACAGCAGAAACTTGATGAGTTTGCTCAACAATTGTCAAAGGTATTGTGGCCAGATATATCTTTTCAAATCTTGCAATGGTCAGGTTGTTTACAGCTACGGCTTTGTATCTGTTAATTGTGTTCATTAATGCAGCACCATAATTAGGGACATGACTTTAAATACACAGTAGAATTAACAGAAGGGTAACTTACGAAGTAAAATCTTAACATTACTGTTATGACATCAGATTTTAAATTGTTAATCATAACTTTTGCATTCTGCAAACCCAAGATCTGCGGACTGTCATATTAAAAATAGTTTCTTTCCCTGCATTTGTTTGTAAACCCCTGTCAAAGTGATGGTCAACAAATCTTAGATACCTTGGGAGCCACATTTTAGAAATTTTATTTTATGGAAACTGGCTGGCATTAAATATCACACAATGTTTGCATTGTTGAAAGATGCTGGGGAAATGTTCTTTGAAACAATGGACCTTTGTAATTATAGTGTTTGTAACACCAGTGTTTTCTCCTTTTTTTCTCATCTATTAAAGGTAATTACAGTTATTTGTATTGCAGTATGGGCTATCAATATTGGCCACTTCAATGATCCAGTCCATGGTGGCTCTTGGATAAAAGTAAGTACTTTTAAATAAGAGGGCTAAGGGTGGGGACTTCGACATCTATGAGGATGTTACTCTGCTGAATTATCAACCCATCATTTCATTAGTCATGAGCCATAACAAACTTAAAGATATTACATAATTTAATATCTATTAAGATTTTGTTTAAACTAGTAAAAGTAGCAGTTAAAATAGATTCTTAGTTTAGTTTGCTCCTAAGATATACTAGCCTGAAAGTCATTCCCATGAGCCTCCAAGAATTCCAGTACTTCTGGAATTTGAATGTCTCCAAATTTTTCCAGTGAAAACCTCTCTTGCTTGTTGGCTAAGACATGCAAGTGAAGNCATCTGTACACTCATACAATACCAGGCTTGCTTCTAAATCAACCTATTACATCAATACCATCAAAACAAACTATGGTAAATTCAACATTTGCTTTGCAGCTGTAAAAGTTTGGAATCACCTTGACGAAAGCATTAAAAACCTCCCCCTTAAAACGTTTAAAAACAAAGTCAAGCTAAACACCTTACAGTCTTACTGTTCATGAGTTTTCAGCTGGTATTTGTTTATTTATTTTATCTATTTATTTATTTATTTCTTCTTTTCGTCTCTTTATTATTGACTAATTAATTGCATTCATCAAGCTTTATTGCCATGCTACCTCCTGTACTTGAACATTACTTAGTTTTACTCAGCTCAATTAACTTTATAGTTATCCTGAGTAAACATTACCTCTTTTTTGTATCAATATATTATATTGTAAAGTTTAACTTTTTTTCTATTTGGTAGTAAAGCTTGTTGTTGTTGTTGTTGTTGTTGTTGTTGTTAAACAACGCAGGCCTGCTATTTCAAAAATTACTGCTTTGCAGCCCTTAATCTCTCCTTTCTGTCATCACCATGTACTTCCATGTAGAGACAACATGAATGTGAAGTTTTAAAATCAACTGTGTCAAAGCAAGTTCATGCAAGTTTATATTCCAATTGAGCTCTAAACTTAATTTACACCTGGTCCCACTCAAACTGGGATTTTTGTCATAATGTTCACCTATGTCGTTTCCTATGTTGTAATAGGTTTCCCTTACATCAAAGTATCCATGTCGATCTAATAGTAGACTCATTTTGTGTTCACAAATTTATTCCTGACCAGAACCTTGAATGGAAAGAAAATAGATCCTCAGGATTTTGAAGCCCTTCCAGAATTTGCTACAATTTGTGCCATGTGCAATGATTCCAGTGTAGATTACAATACAGTAAGTGTTAGACTGTATCTTTTTTCATGTTTAGGAGTATGTTGCCCATAGCGCAATAAGGACGGAAAGTGATGAGGTGGCAACAATTTACTTATGCACTGTTGTCTTTCTAATCCTGTCACTGGAAATGATGCTATTCCGTGTTTCACCTGAGATTATCTCAATGATTACAAGATTGGTCAACTGATCCAGTGAAGAATACATTTTAGCTTCCCATAAAATCAAGTGGCTTAACAATCCTATTTTTTGTGCCACTTCTGGGAAATTACCGTCAGAACTTTACTCTCTTTGTAACTCCTAACACTCGGAAAAGTCTGTTGACATTGCATAACTACAAGCTGTCTTACTACTTGATGTTAGGTAAGAGATGCCTATGAAAAAGTGGGTGAATCGACAGAAACTGCACTAACAGTTTTAGTGGAGAAGCTCAATGTGTTTGGTACAAATCTGAGTGGAAAGTCCAAAGCTGAACTAGCACATATCTGTAATGAAGACATCAAGTCTCACTTTAACAAGGTAATAATATTAGTCGTTTATTTTAGTTTTATGGCCATTGTGGTCATGGAAAATGTATGAACATTCAACTACTGTTTAACAACTTGTTTTGAGGATGTCTTAGAAAGTAAATAGGAAAATGTTTTTGTTAGCAATTCTCATGGACATTGATATCCATCATCATTTGTCACTCTGTTTTTGCAGGAGTTTACCCTGGAGTTCTCCCGTGACAGAAAGTCAATGAGTGTGTACTGTACTCCTAGAATTGACGGGCCAAACTCGGTCCATGAAAAGAATCCAAAGATGTTTGTCAAGGTAAAAACAAGTAAAATTCTAAACTAAGTAGGATCAACACTGTGTGTGCTCAGACAGTGTTAAGTGTAGTTGGTAGGCACACTCTAGTTCCTGTTATATAGGTATCCATCTGCTACAGCCATAGTGATAAAGTGGATTATTAAATCTTACAAAGTTTACCCTTGGGTGTTTTTCTTTACAGGGTGCTCCTGAAGGAATTATTGAAAGATGTAACTATATTAGGGTTGGTAGCAAGAAGCAACCCCTGACACCGAAAACCAAACAGCAGATTCTGGATCTAGTGAAAACTTATGGAACAGGTTTGTATTTAACTAGTTTGCATTTAATGCTGTGGATTCACTGGAAGTGATGTTTTCCGTGTTTCACCTGAGTTCTTCATCAACGATTACAGTCTTGGTATTCCTGATCCAGTGTATAACATTTATTTACTTGTGAGAAGATTCTCAGATATTCAGTTACTCTGTGTCTTAAACATGCCACTGACCTTTGATTAAATTATCACTTTAGGTGCAGACACACTTCGTTGCCTTGCCCTGGCAACAGTTGATGAGCCTATCCCGCCCAGCAAGATGGATCTTGAGAACTCTGAAAAGTTTGCAGAGTATGAGGTGTGCACTTGTCATGTATCTTAACATAGTTGAGAGTTTGGTGAATGACTAGATATGCAGTAGTGAATGATGAAAATGTGGATTCCCCTTCACTTGTTATAAGTGAAACACCCATATGCCATACTGAATACTACTGCTGTTTTGGGAAAAATCACTTGCGTGTTATAAGTAGCATTTTAGAGCTTGTTATTTTATGATAAATTAACAAATGACACATTTTGTGTGTTCTTTTGTGTCAAGTCTGCTCTTCTATGAATCATCACACAAACTTTTTTCAATTACAGAGCAACATGACATTTGTAGGTGTGGCGGGCATGTTGGATCCACCTAGATTAGAAGTGAAAGACTCGATTGAGAAATGCCATGATGCAGGAATCAGGGTTATTGTCATTACTGGAGACAACAAGGTATTCCGATTATGAGATATTGTCTTAGTGGTGGGAATTTGTAGTTGATCATCTTTGTGAACGTCACTTTTCTTTATTGTTTAGGCAACTGCTGAAGCCATTTGTAGAAGAATTGGTGTCTTTGGACCTACTGAAGACCCAACAGGTACTGCAATAAAATTAATTTTGAAATCTGACTCATAAATATGTACACAAATTTGGGTAGTCATAAGTTAACAGCTTGTTTATCTTCTCTTCTTAGGATTATCTTTCTCAGGCCGTGAGTTTGATGAGTTAACTCAAGAGGAACAGAGAGAAGCTTGTTTGAATGCAAGGTGATTTCCTTTCTATGAAAAGTTTTGCTGGTATCCTGTGCATTATTAGCACTCCATATCCGTTTTTCTCCTAACAAAGGTGGACTTTTTCTTTGTAGATTGTTTTCACGAGTAGAGCCAGCACACAAGAGTAAGATTGTGGAGTACCTTCAGGGGGAGGGTGAAATATCAGCCATGACTGGTGATGGTGTCAATGATGCCCCTGCATTGAAGAAGGCAGAGATTGGAGTCGCCATGGGATCTGGAACAGCTGTGGCAAAGTCTGCTTCTGGTATCCTTTTGCATGCTTGTCACCCACATTTCAACATCAAATGTCTCCACACTTAATCAATATGCGATCACAAGAAAGCCTATGAGAATCACAGACGTGATTACAAAAAAAATTTGTTGATGTAAACAAACTCTTCTGATTTGAGCTGTATGAAATGTGTGGAGTCCAGTCTGTTGATAATGGGACTCAGTTTTTTGCCTTATATGTCAAGTTCTTTTTACAAAGACTAGACAACTTACACTGTCTGAAGTAGAGCAAAATGATGTAAAAGTCAATCCATTCTCGGAGTGTTAATTGTGGACTTTGTCGTGAGCATGCTGCTCTGCAGTTTTCACAGAGGTCTTCTCTTTGATTCCTGTCAGACTTCATGCTTGACACTGCACCACATTACTACTGGGAGGACAGTGACATTCTGATTGCCCTGCTTAGTTTATTACACAGTTCAATATTGGTGTAAACAGTACGTGATGAGCCTTAACTTGATATCAGAAATGGTATTAGCTGACGACAACTTTTCAACTATTGTGGCTGCTGTGGAAGAGGGAAGATCTATTTATGACAACACAAAACAGTTTATTCGGTACTTGATTTCCTCAAATATTGGAGAAGTTGTCAGGTTAGTGTCCATATGTGTATACTTCTGGGTATATAAAGACTCTAAGAGTATTTCTTTCAATAATCGCTTCCCAGAGAACATGAAACTTGTGAAGATTCTGAAGTTATCTTCTGTAGTGATATTCCAAGTCAAAGAAACATTACTTAGATTGGCATTAATTTGTTATGGAGCTGTAAGATTTGGTTTTTGTCATACAGAAAGGGGTGAATTAAAGTGAAAATCTAAGGCATTAATATTGCTTGTAATTTCTTCAAGATCATGTGTAGTTTGAAGGTGAAACAGTCACCGTCTTTGAAAATTTGAAATGACCAATCAGAGCACTCATTTTATCTTGCCTGTTCATGGAACTGGTGATGACATTTAAGGTGTTTGCTTACTGTTAACATCTTGTTTTTGTAGCATCTTCCTGACTGCAGCCCTGGGAATGCCAGAAGCACTCATTCCAGTCCAGCTTCTGTGGGTGAACCTCATGACAGATGGACCCCCTGCTACGGCACTTAGCTTCAACCCTCCTGATGTGGACATTATGATGAAGCCTCCACGCAAGGCTAAGGAAGCTCTCATCAGTGGCTGGCTCTTCTTTAGATACATGGCTATTGGAATCTATGTTGGAGCTGCCACTGTTGCTGCCTCGGCATGGTGGTTCATGTTTTATGAGAATGGTCCTAAAGTAACTTATTACCAGTTGGTAAGTATGTCTGCTATAACCCATTGTTGGGATTACCAGCTTTGAGATTTAACTAAAGAAATATTGTTTCTGTTGTTTAGACACACCACATGCAGTGTACAACAGATCCTACAAGCTTTGTTGGTGTTGAGTGTAACATTTTTAACGACCTTCATCCCATGACCATGGCCCTATCAGTGCTGGTCACAATAGAAATGTTCAATGCTCTTAACAGGTGGGTGCATATTTACTTACATTCCCTTGTTATGTAAAGGAGAGAGGTTAAGAATTTGTAAGTGTGTGAATTTACAAACGACACAGGAATGGAGACCCTGCGGCACAGAATCTTTCATGCTGAACATGTTTCTAACCTTAAATGTAGAAAAAACTAACTTAACATCTAGATCAGTTTTGCAATAACGCTTAAGCAGCTGTCTTAATTTAATCTACACAACTTAAGAAAAACGGCCAATATTTATGATTTCATCATTGATTTGCAGCTTGAGTGAAAATCAAAGTCTCTTTGTCATGCCACCCTGGAGGAATCCTTCTCTCATTACGGCAATTATCGCTTCATTTATCATGCACTTTGTCATACTTTACTTCAAGATTACCAATGTAAGTATCATAATGTAAATAATAATAATGCTTCTTCAAATATAACATATTTGACAAGGAGGACCAGGAGGTTAACCCAATATAAAGGTCTCCTATCTAAAAAATATGACATATAAATAAATACATGTGCAGTAGATATAAATGATTACACTAGATGTAAATGACACCTTTAATAATTAATCAGGTTTTTACAACATTGAAGGCAAAATGTTAAAGGTGCTAGTCTTGAAATCCTGACATTCTATCTGACCACTGACCATCAGGAAATATGGCTTAATTGTCTCACGTTCAACTATAGTATATGGTTATGCAAATGTAAAGAAGAAGCNCAACAGCTTTAGTGCCAACCTACCTCCTGTACTTAAACATTACTTAGTTTTACTCAGCTCGATTAGCTTTATGGTTATCCTGAGTAAACATTACCTCTTTTTTGTATTAATATATTATATTGTAAAGTTTAACTTTTTTTCTATTTGGTAATAAAGCTTGTTGTTGTTGTTGTTGTTAAACAACTCAGGCCTGCTATTTCAAAAATTACTGCTTTGCAGCCCTTAATCTCTCCTTTCTGTCATCACCATGTACTTCCATGTAGAGACAACATGAATGTGAAGTTTTAAAATCAACTGTGTCAAAGCAAGTTCATGCAAGTTTATATTCCAATTGAGCTCTAAACTTAATTTACACCTGGTCCCACTCAAACTGGGATTTTTGTCATAATGTTCACCTATGTCGTTTCCTATGTTGTAATAGGTTTCCCTTACATCAAAGTATCCATGTCGATCTAATAGTAGACTCATTTTGTGTTCACAAATTTATTCCTGACCAGAACCTTGAATGGAAAGAAAATAGATCCTCAGGATTTTGAAGCCCTTCCAGAATTTGCTACAATTTGTGCCATGTGCAATGATTCCAGTGTAGATTACAATACAGTAAGTGTTAGACTGTATCTTTTTTCATGTTTAGGGGTATGTTGCCCATAGCGCAATAAGGACGGAAAGTGATGAGGTGGCAACAATTTACTTATGCACTGTTGTCTTTCTAATCTTGTCACTGGAAATGATGCTATTCCGTGTTTCACCTGAGATTATCTCAATGATTACAAGATTGGTCAACTGATCCAGTGAAGAATACATTTTAGCTTCCCATAAAATCAAGTGGCTTAACAATCCTATTTTTTGTGCCACTTCTGGGAAATTACCGTCAGAACTTTACTCTCTTTGTAACTCCTAACACTCGGAAAAGTCTGTTGACATTGCATAACTACAAGCTGTCTTACTACTTGATGTTAGGTAAGAGATGCCTATGAAAAAGTGGGTGAATCGACAGAAACTGCACTAACAGTTTTAGTGGAGAAGCTCAATGTGTTTGGTACAAATCTGAGTGGAAAGTCCAAAGCTGAACTAGCACATATCTGTAATGAAGACATCAAGTCTCACTTTAACAAGGTAATAATATTAGTCGTTTATTTTAGTTTTATGGCCATTGTGGTCATGGAAAATGTATGAACATTCAACTACTGTTTAACAACTTGTTTTGAGGATGTCTTAGAAAGTAAATAGGAAAATGTTTTTGTTAGCAATTCTCATGGACATTGATATCCATCATCATTTGTCACTCTGTTTTTGCAGGAGTTTACCCTGGAGTTCTCCCGTGACAGAAAGTCAATGAGTGTGTACTGTACTCCTAGAATTGACGGGCCAAACTCGGTCCATGAAAAGAATCCAAAGATGTTTGTCAAGGTAAAAACAAGTAAAATTCTAAACTAAGTAGGATCAACACTGTGTGTGCTCAGACAGTGTTAAGTGTAGTTGGTAGGCACACTCTAGTTCCTGTTATATAGGTATCCATCTGCTACAGCCATAGTGATAAAGTGGATTATTAAATCTTACAAAGTTTACCCTTGGGTGTTTTTCTTTACAGGGTGCTCCTGAAGGAATTATTGAAAGATGTAACTATATTAGGGTTGGTAGCAAGAAGCAACCCCTGACACCGAAAACCAAACAGCAGATTCTGGATCTAGTGAAAACTTATGGAACAGGTTTGTATTTAACTAGTTTGCATTTAATGCTGTGGATTCACTGGAAGTGATGTTTTCCGTGTTTCACCTGAGTTCTTCATCAACGATTACAGTCTTGGTATTCCTGATCCAGTGTATAACATTTATTTACTTGTGAGAAGATTCTCAGATATTCAGTTACTCTGTGTCTTAAACATGCCACTGACCTTTGATTAAATTATCACTTTAGGTGCAGACACACTTCGTTGCCTTGCCCTGGCAACAGTTGATGAGCCTATCCCGCCCAGCAAGATGGATCTTGAGAACTCTGAAAAGTTTGCAGAGTATGAGGTGTGCACTTGTCATGTATCTTAACATAGTTGAGAGTTTGGTGAATGACTAGATATGCAGTAGTGAATGATGAAAATGTGGATTCCCCTTCACTTGTTATAAGTGAAACACCCATATGCCATACTGAATACTACTGCTGTTTTGGGAAAAATCACTTGCGTGTTATAAGTAGCATTTTAGAGCTTGTTATTTTATGATAAATTAACAAATGACACATTTTGTGTGTTCTTTTGTGTCAAGTCTGCTCTTCTATGAATCATCACACAAACTTTTTTCAATTACAGAGCAACATGACATTTGTAGGTGTGGCGGGCATGTTGGATCCACCTAGATTAGAAGTGAAAGACTCGATTGAGAAATGCCATGATGCAGGAATCAGGGTTATTGTCATTACTGGAGACAACAAGGTATTCCGATTATGAGATATTGTCTTAGTGGTGGGAATTTGTAGTTGATCATCTTTGTGAACGTCACTTTTCTTTATTGTTTAGGCAACTGCTGAAGCCATTTGTAGAAGAATTGGTGTCTTTGGACCTACTGAAGACCCAACAGGTACTGCAATAAAATTAATTTTGAAATCTGACTCATAAATATGTACACAAATTTGGGTAGTCATAAGTTAACAGCTTGTTTATCTTCTCTTCTTAGGATTATCTTTCTCAGGCCGTGAGTTTGATGAGTTAACTCAAGAGGAACAGAGAGAAGCTTGTTTGAATGCAAGGTGATTTCCTTTCTATGAAAAGTTTTGCTGGTATCCTGTGCATTATTAGCACTCCATATCCGTTTTTCTCCTAACAAAGGTGGACTTTTTCTTTGTAGATTGTTTTCACGAGTAGAGCCAGCACACAAGAGTAAGATTGTGGAGTACCTTCAGGGGGAGGGTGAAATATCAGCCATGACTGGTGATGGTGTCAATGATGCCCCTGCATTGAAGAAGGCAGAGATTGGAGTCGCCATGGGATCTGGAACAGCTGTGGCAAAGTCTGCTTCTGGTATCCTTTTGCATGCTTGTCACCCACATTTCAACATCAAATGTCTCCACACTTAATCAATATGCGATCACAAGAAAGCCTATGAGAATCACAGACGTGATTACAAAAAAAATTTGTTGATGTAAACAAACTCTTCTGATTTGAGCTGTATGAAATGTGTGGAGTCCAGTCTGTTGATAATGGGACTCAGTTTTTTGCCTTATATGTCAAGTTCTTTTTACAAAGACTAGACAACTTACACTGTCTGAAGTAGAGCAAAATGATGTAAAAGTCAATCCATTCTCGGAGTGTTAATTGTGGACTTTGTCGTGAGCATGCTGCTCTGCAGTTTTCACAGAGGTCTTCTCTTTGATTCCTGTCAGACTTCATGCTTGACACTGCACCACATTACTACTGGGAGGACAGTGACATTCTGATTGCCCTGCTTAGTTTATTACACAGTTCAATATTGGTGTAAACAGTACGTGATGAGCCTTAACTTGATATCAGAAATGGTATTAGCTGACGACAACTTTTCAACTATTGTGGCTGCTGTGGAAGAGGGAAGATCTATTTATGACAACACAAAACAGTTTATTCGGTACTTGATTTCCTCAAATATTGGAGAAGTTGTCAGGTTAGTGTCCATATGTGTATACTTCTGGGTATATAAAGACTCTAAGAGTATTTCTTTCAATAATCGCTTCCCAGAGAACATGAAACTTGTGAAGATTCTGAAGTTATCTTCTGTAGTGATATTCCAAGTCAAAGAAACATTACTTAGATTGGCATTAATTTGTTATGGAGCTGTAAGATTTGGTTTTTGTCATACAGAAAGGGGTGAATTAAAGTGAAAATCTAAGGCATTAATATTGCTTGTAATTTCTTCAAGATCATGTGTAGTTTGAAGGTGAAACAGTCACCATCTTTGAAAATTTGAAATGACCAATCAGAGCACTCATTTTATCTTGCCTGTTCATGGAACTGGTGATGACATTTAAGGTGTTTGCTTACTGTTAACATCTTGTTTTTGTAGCATCTTCCTGACTGCAGCCCTGGGAATGCCAGAAGCACTCATTCCAGTCCAGCTTCTGTGGGTGAACCTCATGACAGATGGACCCCCTGCTACGGCACTTAGCTTCAACCCTCCTGATGTGGACATTATGATGAAGCCTCCACGCAAGGCTAAGGAAGCTCTCATCAGTGGCTGGCTCTTCTTTAGATACATGGCTATTGGAATCTATGTTGGAGCTGCCACTGTTGCTGCCTCGGCATGGTGGTTCATGTTTTATGAGAATGGTCCTAAAGTAACTTATTACCAGTTGGTAAGTATGTCTGCTATAACCCATTGTTGGGATTACCAGCTTTGAGATTTAACTAAAGAAATATTGTTTCTGTTGTTTAGACACACCACATGCAGTGTACAACAGATCCTACAAGCTTTGTTGGTGTTGAGTGTAACATTTTTAACGACCTTCATCCCATGACCATGGCCCTATCAGTGCTGGTCACAATAGAAATGTTCAATGCTCTTAACAGGTGGGTGCATATTTACTTACATTCCCTTGTTATGTAAAGGAGAGAGGTTAAGAATTTGTAAGTGTGTGAATTTACAAACGACACAGGAATGGAGACCCTGCGGCACAGAATCTTTCATGCTGAACATGTTTCTAACCTTAAATGTAGAAAAAACTAACTTAACATCTAGATCAGTTTTGCAATAACGTTTAAGCAGCTGTCTTAATTTAATCTACACAACTTAAGAAAAACGGCCAATATTTATGATTTCATCATTGATTTGCAGCTTGAGTGAAAATCAAAGTCTCTTTGTCATGCCACCCTGGAGGAATCCTTCTCTCATTACGGCAATTATCGCTTCATTTATCATGCACTTTGTCATACTTTACTTCAAGATTACCAATGTAAGTATCATAATGTAAATAATAATAATGCTTCTTCAAATATAACATATTTGACAAGGAGGACCAGGAGGTTAACCCAATATAAAGGTCTCCTATCTAAAAAATATGACATATAAATAAATACATGTGCAGTAGATATAAATGATTACACTAGATGTAAATGACACCTTTAATAATTAATCAGGTTTTTACAACATTGAAGGCAAAATGTTAAAGGTGCTAGTCTTGAAATCCTGACATTCTATCTGACCACTGACCATCAGGAAATATGGCTTAATTGTCTCACGTTCAACTATAGTATATGGTTATGCAAATGTAAAGAAGAAGCTGGATAACTTTTTACTAATATTTTTCCACAAGCTTCATACTCTCACCCCAGCCTTACATTTATAAAAAAAATTGTTATTATTGAGCATAATGGGCACATGAGTATAAAGCCTTGGCTACATTGTCCACACTAACTCTTGGTGAAGTTGGCATCTTCAATAATGATTATTATCATTCATTGGTTCATTTATTTGGTACTAGATAATCTTGCTTTTGTTGTTTTCCTTGCAGACTATTTTCCGCATCACACCTTTGAACTGGGATGAATGGATCGCAGTTCTCTATTTCTCCTTTCCCGTTATCATACTCGATGAAGTTCTCAAGTTTGTCTCAAGACACATAGGTAGATACATTTAATATTGTGGAAACTGTCTTTTATGTGACCACTTCTAGATAATAACTCTGAATTAACAGCTGCACTAAGCACTGCAGTTTTGTGATGATATACAAAGTATTGCAGTGAGTAAATTTTGTGTTCTGATCAGTTGTATTGTTTTTATTGCCAGCTGAAGCTCCTCATCTTCCTCCGCAAGCTAAAGCAAAATCTGACTGATTACTGACAGCATGCCGGTCATGCGTGTAACTGATATACCAGAAGTGGGTCACAGCTCTGAGGAGCACTGCACTCTGTAAAACATTCTTGTGGTTCCTCCTGGGAACAATGAACTATCAAAGCCATAATCCTCATTTCAAGAAGTGTCCTAACTCACGAATAATGGAGCAGAGGTTCCTGACTCACATGACTGGACAACTTACAGTGTGTTCATGATTGCTTGTGCTGTGTTCTGCTGATTGGTTTATAGCAATCGGAAAATTAATTCAGTTGACACTATCTTGTTCTACCGACCGATTTTCTCTTGCAAAGACAAGATAACTCATGGTTTGATGCGTATAATATAACGACAGCAGCATTTCCGTCCGGGCCCTAGGGCCTTTAATTTATATATTTAAGTCTAATTTTTCTTCAGTGCTAAAGGATCTTGGTAGGTTTTTTTTGCATCAATCAGTCCAAACTTCAATCTTTGGATTGGCTTCTAGGAATGGGAAATCCATTGACATTTTAGTCTTTTTTATGAAATGTTGTTTTGAAAAGTGGAATGCCTTTCAGGCATCCCTGTTCCCCATTCCCAATGATTGGGTTGGGGTGGAAATGAGGATGTCTTGCTTTCTAAATAAAAAGGTGTGGATGCCACCGACATATATGTAATATATCAAAGTTCTTAATCCAGTAACTGACTGTTAGTTTGATTGGTCACAAGACCTCTTTATGTGACACTAGGAACAATTTTTATGTGGGGAGTATAGCACCCTAACATGTTCAATGCGTTCGGTCTGTTAAGGAGCAGCACGATCACAACGAGAGTTTTTGTCTCGTCGTTTTTCGCATTGCCTCCAACTTTCAGAACACATGGAACAGGGTAACAGCGCCCCTCTTTGTAGGCCAGTTAAACATGCTTGTAATTTGACCGCAATTTGCTTAAAAGTTTAAATGCCCAGGACTCGAGGAACTGTTGTTTCATATTGTTCGATGCATTTATCTTCATTTTTGATAAAACTGAGTAAGCTCAGTATTTTCTTGGAAAACATTTATCCTATAACAGAAACCATCGCAACAGCCAAATTGTCAAGGCGAACGAGAATTACTGCTGGCAAACACTACTCGTAGAATAAAGCTCCACGTTTTAAGTTTTGTATTGCGTTTGATATGTAAGCTTGTTGATAAACGGGGTTTCTAGTGAGTGTGTCTTAACTGGTATCTGAGATGTTTTTAAACTTAGTTTGATGCAGCTGTAATGACTTTATATCCTGAAGCTGTGTGGTTTTAGTACGCTTGACGTCCACCCTAGTGCAAAGGAAATTACCATTCCTTACAATGATTGTTCTTTCGTACTTTACTTTTGCCCTTAAACAAATGGTTCATTAAAAGTCGACTTTCATGAAAATGTGTATCCGGGTGTATACCTGTGTTTTGTGCGCAGAAACCAACTTGAGTGTCAGTATTTTACTTCATCTTCACCCACGTTGGAAAGACGCTGGGAGCGAGGGTTGACCATTCCTCGCATCGTACAAACAATGTTCAAAATACATTACTGAGGCCCTGTTAGGGGGTTCATAATCTCCCCGTCTGAGTTTCAAACCTTTTCACGTCGCAATTTCGGAAAGTTTGCATCTTTGCCGTCGGAATTTCGTCCAAAACTACCGATCTTTAAAGTAAAATGCTTTCTCCTAATTCTGTCCCCGAAACATTCTATTTTTGAGTAATTATCAACCAAACTTACACTCTGTTTTCATAATGTTATTTTTTCCGGCACAGGCTGAATATTCTTATTTTCTGCCGATTTTAGGCTCAAAATATGCTTGCGGATATGCGCATGACATTTCTGTTTCCGAATGTATTTGGTGTCTGGATGGTGGTAAAGTAATCATGATTGGAGCTAGCCTGCAGACATGAAAGCCTTGTATGAAGCACATAACTTCTTCGAAAAATGTTATGTAGCATCGAGCATACGGCTAGTGATGTTTTTGTTGCCTTTTAGCTCGTTTTGCCGTTTAGAGAAAGTTACGGGAAAGTTATTTTCAACAAACAAAGTTATTCTTTTCAAAATCTTAGCCGAGGGGTTATTCTTAAAATATTCTTAAAAATTTGGCAAATTTCAGCCCTGGTGTCCTTATAAACTATATTCTTATAAAAAAGATAAAGAGTTTAATAGACTTGCAAAGTGCGACAATACAATGCAGAGAGAATAGACTCGGAAAATGTACTTTTCGATCCTTATGTGACGTGTTTGAAGTTCGTTATTTTTTGTGGCTACATGTCCGGCAGCCTGACAGGTTTTTAAAATGCTCCGTGTCCGGCAGAGACTGCGAAATTTTTTTATTAAGTAAACCAACGTAAAAAAAAAAATAATGACAGGCGACCCTACGAGGGATCGAACTCGGGTCGCCGGTATGAACACTGCGCCACGGCAACTTTCGGAATTTAGGTATTTTTCGAGTAACCTCAGAGTTGCCCTTAGCATTATTGAAAGCTAACCATAAACAGGCTAACTAGACTAACCGGAGTGCTATTCAGGCTAACCGGAGAGCTATTTAGGCTAACCGGAATGCTTTTTAGACCAACCGGAGAGCTATTTAGGCTAACCGGAGTGCTATTCAGGCTAACCGGAGTGCTTTTTAGGCTAACCGGAGTACTTATTAGGCTAACCGGAGTGCAGTGTTTTTGACTGCGGGTCATTCTATAATAGTCCTACGTTATAAATCCCGGTATACCGGGTGCCGGGCTCATCAAAATTCACACTACGGTGGAAACAGTGAAGTATTCAGCCATAAAAACAAGGATTTGACATTATTAACTGAAATTTTTAAAAAATAATTTTGACTACCGGACACGGAGTATTTTAAAAAACCTGTCCGGCTGCCGGACATAGAGACACAGCAAATATTTTTTATTTCTTTGACGGCTTTTTATTCGAGATATCTAAGCACTCGATGGCATATTTGCAGTGTAGAGCTATTTGGATACAACCACACATATTCTTTTTAGAAAGCCTCTTTTAAAAATGGGGTTGATGCTGAAACTTGGTGCGTATTAATTACTTTCTGCTCCTTGAAGTTTGTTGAGTGCAGCGGGGCTCGCACGAGGTAAAACGGGGCCTATCCAGAAAAAAAAAATCATATTAGTCAGGGGCACCCAACGGATCGTTTCGGTAACTTATCTGTTCGGAAGGCGTTTAATCCCCACTGATTTTCTGAAGAGAATTGTCACCTCGAACTTGCGTGATATGA